GCTCAGGTAGGGACGGTGGCCACTCCACACCTGGGCACAGCTGGGCGGGGCCCGGAGCCCATGCAGGTGGTCGTCAGTGGGGCTGTGTGCACTGCAGGTGGCAGTTTGCATCGGATGGTGGGGACATTGGCTTTGGGATTTTCCTGAAGACCAAGATGGGAGAGCGGCAGAAGGCAGGGGAGATGACGAAGGTGCTGCCCAGCCAGCGCTACAATGCCCACCTGGTCCCCGAGGATGGGAGCCTCACCTGCCTCAAGGCCGGCGTCTGTAAGTGTTGGCAGGAAACAGCTCCACCTGGAGCTGGAGGTGGGGGAAGGGCGCCTCACTTTGCAACCAGGTCCCACCAGATGAGGACCCCTGGATCCAGTGGGCGCAGGGTGGGGCTGGCTCTGGACTCAGCCATGGCAATGGTTCCCTGGTCTTGGCTCCCACAGAGGGCGGGATCCCAAGTGGGCATCCTGTCTGAATGTTTGTGCCTCACCGCAGATGTCCTAAGGTTTGACAACACCTACAGCCTGGTTCATTCTAAACGCATCAGCTACACCGTGGAGGTGCTGCTCCCAGACCAAACCATCATGGAGAAGCTGGAGAAATTCTAGGTGAAACTGGTGGCCTCTACACTCTCCTCTTTGGTCCCTGGATCCACATTGAAGTTGTCAGCCTTCCCTGGCCAGACCCTCCTCTCCAACCTCTCCAGGGATGAGGATTCTACATCAGCTGGTCACAGCCTGTCTGTTGCAGTGGGCCTGCTCCTGTGGAATTTCTGGGCCTGTGTCATATGGTGGCCAGATGGCTGCAGCAAAGCGACACACTATTCCCACTATTACCTCCTGTGACCTCGAGCTCAGTGAAAACCCCAGGCCTTTTTCTGTGAACCAATATCAAGAAATGAGTTAGTGTTCTAAAATATAGTGTATTCATAGAACATTTGAGGTATGGTAAGGCCAGTAGATAAGGAAATGATGGCCACTGAAAATATAATTTATTAGTTACAGCTCCCAAGAGGAGGGGGCACACGTGCCACGGGGTAGAGGGAGGGGGATGGGGGCACACGGGAAACACCAGGGTTGGTCAGTGGGTGGAGGGAGAGGGAGCAGTACCTGGCCCTGGGGTGACGAGGGCAGGTGGATAGTGACCTGGTACTGTGACAGCCTGATGGAGGAGGTGGTTGGCATGTAGGCTTATGTCAGGGGCTTTGTATTTGAGAAGCACTCTTGCGGATGAGTTGTTTGCTCTCTCTAGGAATTACCTCACCTTGGGAGAGGCAATCCCTCTGGGGTCAGTAAGGCCGCAGGTGTAAATCCTCAGAATACAGAAAATAAAAGACATGGTTAATACTAGGGAATTTCAAAAAGTTCATGGAAAATGGAATTAAAAGATAATGTGAATCTTTCCATGAACTTTTTGGAGTCCTCTCATACAGTTGACCCAGCAAGCAGTGCAATAGCTGCTCTGAATGGAAATCCAACCTCACAGCTTCCCCATCTAGACGGAACTCCTGCCTCTCGACTCTGTCTTCCACATACACTTTCCCTCCCAGCGTTGCAGCGTGTGAGAATCTGTTCACCCTCTGGGTCTCCATCCAAGCTTCTGATTAAGAGTTCAGACTGAGTCTCACACTCACTGGGTGTCAGGCCCACAGTCCCCCCACTAGGATGACATCATCATGTGATCAGGTTTCAGTGGGGTCTGGCCACATCATCAACAGAGATTCTTTCTAAGTATCCCACCATTTGCACATGTGTTAGCCCCACCTGACAGCCAAAGTACTTCCCTGCTTGGCCACTTTGCCTGGAAACACGGGCATTCCTCTGGTCTTGTTCTCAGTGATCCCACATTGGCTCCCAGGACTCACCACCTTCATTTTAAGGGCTCCCCTTCTACCTGCACTCAACCGTACATTCCAGAATTTTGACAGCAAGTTTACTCAACTGATTCCAAAATGTGTCAGCTGCTTCCTTCATCCTCCATGATTCTGAAGTGCTCGTATCCACCATGCTCTCCTGAACAGANACATTGGCTCCCAGGGCTCACCACCTTCATTTTAAGGGCTCCCCTTCTACCTGCACTCAACCGTACATTCCAGAATTTTGACAGCAAGTTTACTCAACTGATTCCAAAATGTGTCAGCTGCTTCCTTCATCCTCCATGATTCTGAAGTGCTCGTATCCACCATGCTCTCCTGAACAGACGGCACCAAGGAGCTGGAGGGAAGTTCCCCATGGGCTGCCACCCAGTTATTGAGGGGATGGCACTGGGGAGCCACGATGAGGACAGATGGGTCACCCTGGCTCTGGCTCTTTGGCCCCACAATCTTCCCCATTCCACCCAGCACCCTGTCTATTTCTAAATTCACCTTCACACAGTCTCACTGGGACACAGGCTGAATGCCAGTGCTCTTGGCCAGATAATGGACGTGTCCACAGCTGGCCCCACCTACCTCCTCTCCCACTATCCCTCCACTCAAAGCCTCCACTCAATCTTTGTCATCACCACCCCAACCCTCAAGTTTTCCCCCTCACCTAGAAGCTCACCTTTCTCCCCTCAGTCCAAATTTTCCCTCCAGCAGACAGTGCTGAGTCAGAGTTAGGGCATGCACTTGCATGTAATTTACACCAGTGAGGTTCTCCCTTTATGTTGTACAATTCTGAGCTTTGACAAGTACATACTGTCATGTGATCACCACCACTATCAGAACTCAGAACGGCTCCCAAAATTCCTTCATCACCCCCAAAATTCCTTCATGCAGTTCCTTTGTAGTCAACCCCTCACTCCACCCCACCCCTGACAACCACTGATCTGGTCTCTATCCCTACAGCTTTGAATTTTCCAGAATGCCATGTAGATGAAATCATACAATATGTAGTCTTTTGAATCTGGATTTCTTTAGTCAGCATACTGCCTCTGAGATTCATTCACACTGTTGTGTGTATTGATACTTGGTTTCTCTTTGTTGCTGAGTGGTGTTCCTTTGTATGGACGTACCACAGTGTGTTTATCCATTCCCCAGTTGAAGGCTAGTTGAGGTGCGTCCAGTTTGAGGAGATTATTAATAAAGTTGTTATAATATCTGTGTACAGGTTTCTGTGTGATCCTAAGTTTTCATTTCTCTAGGGTAAATGCCCAGAAGCAGGATTCCTGCTGGACCACATGGGAAGAGGACATTTAATGTCAAGGGAGAAGCCCCCAGGTTTCATGCCCCCAAGTCCAGAGTTATAACACCAAGAAATCTCTAATGACAATTTTATTTTTTCATTTGGGTCTATTCAGATTACAACTGCAATAAAATAGTAAAATACGAATTTTGAAACTAAAGGACATGTCATAGTATACAGCTGTAACCCTATGCTATAACCCTGCAGCTACACTATAAGAAGGTATAGAAGCAAGAATAGAAATAATCAATAAACAAATTAACTTCAGGTTGGATGTTTAAGAACAGGCTTAATTAAGTATAGTTGTAGTAATAATTTTGGGGGTCATTGGATTTCTGCATTTGCTGTTCAAGGTATTTAGAGTGCTCAAAAGAATCAGCTACAATGAATTTGTAGCTTACAGATAGTGCATAATTCCCATAGACAGGCACTGAGCAATAGGCGGCCTCCAGCCTTCCAGCGTGAGCTTGCCAATAGAGCTCCGGTGTGGGGCAGAGGTGAGGCGCCAGCCTCTCCCTGCCACTGTTCGATCCTCTGAGGTCCCCTCCACACCCTCTGGAAATCTTTGTAACGGCCTCCAGACCGGTTTTCCTTCTCTGATCATCTGTTGTTTCCAGGTCATTCTTTACCCCTAACCAGGCCCAGAGTTAGCTTCCCGGCACAGATGGAATCACAATGGTCTCTTCCTCTAAAGCATTCAGTGGCTCCCCACCACTGAGAGTGATGCCCAAAGCCCCCAGCACAGGCTGAAGGTTCATGGTAACCTGACCTCAATCCTTGTGAGTGTGCTGCCCTGTGCTATCTCTCCTCTACCTTACTCCGAGTTTCTTTGGGCGGTTACTTCCACCTAGAAGGTCTTCCTCCCATTTTCACCTTATAGGCCCAGCTCTAAAGCCACCTCCTCTGGGGGACATTCCGGAACTCCCTAGCTCAATGTTCTTGCTTAAACCTCTGTTAGAATACTCTGTCTTCAGAGAGCCAGGACAGGTGGTGGTTAAGGTCACAGGCCTTAGGTATAGACAGATAAGGGTTCAAACCTTGGCTCTGGCCATTACCAATTTCTGAAGCTTAGTCCCCACATGTATAAAATGGGGACATGGGTACAATGCAGCAAATATGGCCCATGCCTTCATGGGCCTGATGGCTAAGAGGGTGAGTTAAATTGTCATAATAAGCAATGTCTAATGAGAACAATACTCTGAAAAAGAGGAGTAGTGTTCTATAGGAGCATTTAACTGGGGGACCAGAGGAGGCGAGGAGGCACCACGTAGGCAGCATGGGAGGAGGAGGTGAGAAAAGTGTTCAAGTCAGAGAGAACAGTGTGTGCAAAGGCCCTGTGATAGGAGTGAGCAGCAAAGGGAGACAGGTAGCCCCATACACTCCTTTCCTGTGTCCTGTGGCTTGGGAAGGTCCAGGGACCTCTTGGCTTTGTAGGGAAAGAGAAACAGAAATCCAGCTGTGACCCCAGGGCCCCAGAGCCCTAACCCACCTCTTTCCCTGGTCCCAGGTCTTTAGGGCAGTTGGTCAGGCTCCCCTTGCCCACCTCTCTCCCACATGCCCTTGTGATCATCTCTCTTCCTGCAAAGTAGGTTGAGTGTGGCCATACCAGGCCACACCTTTCCCTGGGGTCACCCTGAGTTTGTGGGGGAGCCAAGGAAACTTCTCCCTGCCGCCATGGAGCCTAATCTCCACCTGTCAGTCAGGTCCAAGCATGAGGCCATCCTGCCCCGGGCATCTGTATCAGGCAGACACTCCCTCTCAACACTTCACCCAGTGCCACCCAAGCCAAGTCCTACATATGTGGAGAGGTACCTGGTGACATCTTCCAGTCAAGATGTCCACGGGGTGGAACTGATGTAGCCCGGATGTGGGGGCTTCTGCAAAGCCTCATCTCCCTCCCCACAATGCATTCACCCCAGGGAATTTCCTTCACTTGGCAGGTCACAGGCTTTAAGGAGGACTGCTAGCACGGCACCTGTGGCTAGTGAGCGATGCCAGGAATATTAGGGACACCTGGAAGGTGGTAGGGAGAGGCAGCACAGGGAATGGGCAGTGAGGCATGGGATGTGGTGGCATACCATGACAACACCATCATCGCAGTCCAGCTTCTCAGCTCATGGGGCAGGAGGGATCAAGGACAGCAGCCCCATTTAGGAAGGTGGGAAGAGAAGGGCACACCACAAGAGAGGGGAGTTATCTGTCCCCCAAGTCCCTGGCACCCAGATGGTTAGAACCAAGGGACTCCATGCCCAGCATCAGCTGAGGTTTGAGGAGGCATCCACATGCTGCAGGCTCAGGGCAGAACATCTGCCCCTTTTGGGAAGACGGTGACTTTAGGGTGATCTGGAATCATGGGATCTCAGCTGGCAGAAAGCCATGGCATGGTGACGAGTGCCTGGCCCTGCACCAGCCTGTTTGGGTTCCGATTCTGGCTTTGCTACTTG